CCGGGGGATCTTGGGAGGGCTCTGGCTCCTTGGTGTGGCAGGGAGGGTCCGCTTGGCTCACAGGATTCGCAGGAGACGCAGAATCAGGAGCAGCAGCAACAGCAAGAGACAGAGGGGGCTGGGAGTATCCCCCCCTTGCCACCCTGATGTGCCACTCTCTCCAGGGTTCCCAACAGGATGGGCTGACTCCGACTCTGTGAGGGGGAGGGGATAGCACTGATGTGTCCCTCCAGTTCTTCAGCAGCCTCCTTCCTGCCCTTCCCATGAGCTGTTCCCTCTGGTCCCATTCTCCAGGAGCTCCCCAACCAGCCACTCCCTTCCCACTATCCACTACCTCATCCCTTCTAAGCCCCACCTTCCAAGTCTCCCCCAGATTGCCACTAGAGACAACCACCCCAGCTAAGGCCTTGAAGGGCCTTGCCCCTGGATATCCCATTCCCTTGCCTCAGATTAAAAAGGGGCACAGTGAAAGCTCCCACCAGGCCAAATGGGGAATAGGCCCCAGCTGAAGTTCCACCTGGACCCCTCAGAGCCTGATGCTCCTAGATTCTCCACTCTCTTTCCCAAGGGCCCCACACTTGCCAGAAGCCTCGCTCCCCATGCCCCAAATCACTTACTGCTCTCCTTGCAGCAGACAGACACCTGGAGCCTCAAGCACTGGCCAGGACTCTCTGGAGTTGGCACTGCTGCATGGTGGGAAATTGGGAGGAAGAAGTTGGCACAGGGAGTGACCCCTCTGTATGCCTCAGACCCTGTTTCAGACCCTCCAGCTTCTCTTCTCTCCAGGTCCCTGGAAAGCTTTTCCTTATTTTGGGGCCACACTCATGTACTGGGCCCCACCCATGCCCCTCCTTCCCCCCAGCCCCCTTTCCCAGCCCCTCCTCTCCATAGATGCTCAAGATGTTCCCCTCTTTAGTCCGGGATGCAGCCCCCTTACCCCCCGCAGGCCTCTCCTTCCCCCTCCTCAGGCTCTGTGTCTTGACCGGTGGCAATGGCAGGGAGCCCCACACCTCCCCACCTTCCCCAAGAGGTATCCAGTGTGCCTTTGTCACTCACAGATGTAGTAGTAAGTCTCTCCCGGCAAGAACTCGAAGCCAAGGGAGAAGGGTGTGAAGCGCTGAATCTTCTCTGAGAACTGAACATGGGCAAAGGGAAGGGAGCACACCCAGCGCTTGAAGGCACCCGGCCCCTTCGCCTGGCAGGCCTTGTAGCCTGGCCAGTCCACCATGTATAAAGTAAACGTCTCGGGTCCCTCGGGGGGGCCTGGGCCTTCATAGTGGGGGCAGAAAATGTCTAGGTAATCGTTGAGGCCCAGCTTCACCACAGCGTCTCCTCGAAGCAGCCTGCGGGCATAAGGCAGGGGTGGCTGAGCACGGCTGGGCATGGGGGGCAGAGATACCCCTTCCCAGAAGTCCCTGCCAGCCTCTCCTCCACCCACTGGAGACAGAGCAGCTCAGGAAGGCCTGAGTTCCCCAGACTGACAGCTCCTGAGAGACAAAGAGTGTGAGAAATGGATGAGATGATCGATTCACAGGTTCAGAGAGGCTTGGGACTGCAGTGCCCATGACAGACCACATGCCTTAAATGTGAGAAGGCTGGTCACCACACCCTACCTTTCAGGCTGGAGCTGCCACACACCTTGCAAGTCTGACACTGGGCGTGGTACACACCAGGCTTGATAAACGTTAGGCGGATGGATGCCGTGAAGAAGCTGGGCAGAGGCAGCGGGTACAGATATGGCCCACAGCGCAGTTACAGACACGGAGATGGAGACGGGGACTGGGAACAGTGGCCTCAGTGACAGACACAGAGAGAGGAAGACTGCCCTTTAGACCTCAATCCAATAGTGAAAAGAATGCCATGGTTAAAAAAAAAAAAAAAAGAATGAGGTAGTCAGTACTGGGTACTTCCCTTTTTTGGCCAGGAGGAAGTGCCAGCCATGGAGGGAGTCCACATACCACCCAGTCTTCAGCCTTCTCAGGAATCCCTTCCCCCACCTCGGGAGCTGACTGGGGGAAGGGCTATGACAGGCTGCCCACCACAGCACTGAATACTCTATGAACCATTACCCCCACCATACACAGCAAAGCTTGACCTATTGAAGGTCTCCAATTGTCCCTTAATGAGTGGTCTGAGGACCACCTGTCTCAGGAGTTCTGATTAGAAATGAAGATTCCTGTAATCCTAGCACTTTGGGAGGCCTAGGTGAGAGGATCACTTGAGGCCAGGAGTTTGAGACCAGCCTGAGTAACATAGCAAGACCTTGAGACCTCATCTCTACAAAACATAGAAAAATATAGAAAATATATAGAAAAGTTAGTTGTGCATGGCGGTGCATGCCGGTAGTCCCAGCTACTCCAGAGGCTGAGGCAGGAAGATCACTTGAGCCCAGGAGTCTGAGGCTGCAGTGAGCTATGATGACGCCACTGCACTCTAGCCTGGGCAACACAGTGAGATTCTGTCTCAAAAAAATAAAAATAAATAAAAAAAAAGAATTAAAAATTCCTGGGCTGAGCCCAGATCTACTAGAATATAAGCTGAGCAAGGACAGGGTCTTTGTATGTTTTGTTCTACTGCATCCCCAGTGCCTGGAAAAATGCCCTGCACAAGACAGCATTCAATCAATATTTGTGGATTGAATGAATGAATTAGAAACCTCAGGGCTAGAGGCTAGAAAAATGAATTTTTAACAGGTCCTCCAAAGTGATTCAGAGGCTTTGGTCTGTAACAGAAATGGAGGAATTCAGAGTCCAAGGACAAGAGCTCTTATCACTTGGTATTGGTATTGTAATGACCTGTCTTTATGCCTGTTCTCCCAGAGTCTGTGAACTCCCAGAGGGCAGGAGCTTGGTCTTCTCCTCTCCCTAATCCCCAGCAACCTAGCACAGGTTGGGGCACACAGTATGTGCTTAACAAATGTTAGTGAGTGAACAAATGAACAGAGCCACAGATTGTCTCAAGTAGAAAATCAGAAAGGAAAACAGGTGGGAAAAGAAGAGAGGGAGATTTGGGGAGGAGGATGATGGACACAGTAAAAAAAAACCAAAAACAAAACCGAGGTTCAAAGGTAGACAGCTCAGGAGAGAGAAAGAAATGATAGTTTTTATTTATACGGCCCGCACCTCTTTCACATACATGACCTTAGTTAGCCCGCCTGGCTTCCCAAAATACTAGGTGTTACTAGCCCATTTTACAGATGAGATAAATGAGGTTAGGGAGGTCAAACGACTTGCCCAAAGGTGATTCGTCTAGAAGGGCAGGGCCGGGACAGAAATAGAAGGACCAATAAAGACCGAGATGAAATCAGAGATAGTAAATGAGGCCAGGTGACAGAATGAGAGCCACACTGGAGGCCCAGAGAACAGGAGAGTAACCCACGCTCTTTCACCAGAGTAAAAGCCCCCTCGGTTCTCAAGTCCGTCCGCCCCCAGCTCCGGACGGCGGGATGCTGGGGATCACCAGGAGAGAAGCGAGGGGGGCGGAGCCCGGAGTGCGGGCAAAGGCCCCCCAGCTCCATGTTCCAAGACCCCACAGACAGCCTTCTGGGCTGGGGTCCTCCGCTCGCCCCCCAACACGTGCGGGCTGGGGGTAGACCCGGGGCGCGCCTCGCCCCTCCCCCCTCCCCCGCCGGCTCAAACAAAGGAGCCCCGGCGCGCGGCCGAGTTCAGGCGGCGCCGCGCAAAGCGCGAGTGGCGGGCGCGCGCACGGCCCGGGAGCGCGCAGACCTGGCTTAGCGCTCGCCCGGTTCGGCCCGGCTACCTGGGGTTACTGGAGTTCCAGTAGACAACGTGGCGAAGGCTGGAGCCCCCGCGCAGAGGGGAGCCGAGGAACGCGGCCCAGAGGACAGTCCGCAGCAGGGGCAGCAGCCGCATCGCCCCCGGGGTCCGGTCTGGGCTGGCCCGGCCGGTCCCGGCCCGCTTCACAGTCGGGGCGAGAGAGGTACAAAGTGAGGAGGGGGGTTGCGGGAAGGGGGGTGGGTGCGGAGACTCAAAGGCCCGGCCCCTGGATAACTTTTCACCAATGGGAGCGCATCTTCTGCTTTCCACTCAGCGCCGGCTCTCGTTAACCCTCTGTGCACCGTAGCGCGCGCCAGGTTAGCCAAGGCTTCTCCCGGGGCCGCGCCACACTGCGAGGGGGCGGGGAGGAAGGAGGTGTTCCACTGAGTGTTTTCAGGGAGGTCGTGTCTTTCGTGTCTGTCTTAGTACGGGGTAGAAAGCCTTATTATAAATTTTGAGGATTTTAAATAGGCGCACACAACCTTTGCCCAGATAGGGTAGTGAGGGCGAGGATCCATGAAACCTGTCCAGCCACCTTCATACATTGCCCCCTTTTCTTTGCACATCTAGAGATAGTACGTGGGGAAGGGACAGTACACCTTCTGGGACACCCCCCGTTCCGTGCAGAGCCTTAGGTGCGCGCTAGATGCCTGCTTTGGGGTTGGCGTCTGTCTCTTTCCACCCCACACCTTCATTCTGGGGACCGCGGCCCCAGTCCCGAAGACGAAGTAATGAGGTGCTTGCGGCCTGTACAAAGCGCCTTTGTTTCCGAGCCCTCGGGGGGGGGGCAGGGGAGGGGGAGGAGGCAGGTGCGCGGCCTCGGGATCGTGGGAGCCGCTGTCCCCCTCCATCCTGGCTCCGGGACTCTTAGAACATAAGCCAGATCCATTTTTCCCAGCCACTGGTCAGAGGGTGGAGACGGGGATCCGACAGCTTGGCGGGTTTTGTTGATAGCCGCCCCTGGGGGCCGCGCGGCGATGGGGGAGAGGACTGGGGGTGGCAACGGGTGGACAATTCCCCGTGATACAGGATTGCGTTGAGAGCCTTCCCTGGCAGAAACAAGCCAGGAGCATCCCCGGGACACAGACGCTGACCCATTCTGGGACTCCCGCCCGCGTCCGAGGCGGCAGCATCTCCTGGCGGCCAGACCTGGAACCGCAGCAGGGGCGACCCAGCTTCCCAGCAGCAGACAAACTCCAAGGCACGCTCCCAAGATCTCACGTTTATTGCAGAGACAGGCTGTGCGCACCTCCCTCAACCCTGTCCAGGCCCCAGCCCCTCCCCAACCCCGGGCTGCAACGACGTGGGCAGGTCCCCAGAGTCCTGCTTGACAGCTCGTGCGTGCCTGGCGCCTTAAGACAACCGTTCCGCTCCGTACAGGCTCCGGCTCCTTCAGTCATGGCAGGGTACTCCAGGGGGCAAGTCCGCCTCTTGAAGTCCTAAGTCCGGTTTGGAGTCCTCAGGAGAGGTCAGAGGTAGAGCGAGAACACTGCTGGGGGTGGTGGCGCTGGCCTGGAGTGCGGGAAGCGGAGAAAAAGGGTCAGAGGTCCCCTTACCCCAAATCACTCACTCCGGGCACCTATCTGCAGCTCTCCTCCTGGCCTACCTGGAGGGTGCCACTAGGGGCGGGATTCCAGCTCCTGGGCCAGGCAGGTCGACCGATGGGCACCGGCCCTGGGGGTTGGCAGGCAGTGGTTTCCTTGGGGGTGGGGGCTTGGCAGGCCCCTGAGACTGAGGGAGAGAAGGAAGGAGGTTGGCTTGGGCCCCGTGGGTGTCATGTCGCCCACCTCCGCTGTACTGGTGCTGGGGAACACCAGCTTGGGGGCAGCACCAGAGGTCACTTGTGTCTCCAAACAAACCTGTCACCATTAAAGGAGCCACCGGGTATGTACCCTTGGGCACTGAGGGGCCATCTTGCCACGGCCACCACCGCCACGACTACCGGCACCACAGCCCTAGGTGGGGGGAGAGGCTGTGCCCTTCTCTCCCCCCACTGTTACCTTCGGGCTCCTCACCACCGGGTCAGCGGGCAGAGGGCGGGTGGGGGGATTGGGTCGGTCAGCGAGCTCAGCCTGAACAGAGAGAGGCAGTGGCTATGAGAGCACATCCAGGGGCAGTGGGCATGCAGAAGTTCCCTGGAGGGATTCAGGTCAACATGCAAAGTCAGCCAGGGCGGCAGGAGAGAATGGGGGCATGCGCAGAGGGCTTGGGGGCATGCCAGCAGATGTCTCAGGGGAGGAAGGTGTGGGTCAACCGTGGAGTCCCTGGCCAGCTGCAGTCCCGCCACTGACCACCAGATGGTGGTAGAAACCAAGGCAGGAGGCTCACCCTTTGCTGCTTCTGGGGCTCAGAGTGTCTGAAGGCTGAGGGGCACCCTGGTCACCTAATGAAGAGCACCACTGACAGGGAGCAGGGATGAGAATTGCAGTTGGGCACCAAGCCTCCCACCTGCCCTGGGCCAGGGCAGAACCTGGCCCAGATTTACCTGGAGTCTCTTAGGCACAGGGTCAGGTGGCAGCGGCCTACAGGGGGGTGCCGGGAAGCCGAGAACAGTAGCCTGCCAAGAGAGCAGGAGGAGCAGACAGGCACAGGGTGTGGGAAGCAGAGAGACAGATGTGGGCAGAGAAGGGTTAGTGCCCAGGGAGGACAGTCAGGGCCCCAGGGGCAGGGGGTGCTGTGCATGCAGTTATTCAGCTGCATGCGTGGGTAACAAGTGGTGGTGGGGGCATGCAGACCACCCACACACACACTCCTGTCATCGGACCCAGAGGGCTCAGGGCAGGGGCACTCACCAGCCCTTCTACACATGGTGACCTGGGCCTCATCCGGTTCTGGCACACTGAAGGCCATTCTGAGCTCCACCCCCCTTCTGCCCTCCAGGGGTCACTGTTGGGGCACAGATAGACCCACCTCTCAAAGCCACCAGCTTGGCCGGCAGCCCCTGCTCTAGCTGTCCCTTCCACTCCAGTCTGCATTCTGTTTCTCTGCCTGCAGCCAGGGAAGGGCTAGCCCCGACTTCTATGGCTGACCTGGGGGCAATGCTAGCCTTTCTCTGAGTCTAGAGCCTTCAATGCCCACCCCCCCAGGGCCCAAGCTGGATGCCAGGCCAAGGTGGAGCCCCTTTCCTCTGGCATGCAGGACTCACCTTAGTGCCTGGCATCAGCAGGGCCCTCTGTGGGGGTCCTGGCCGTTCAGGAGGACCAGACTGGGCTGCCCTGAGCATGAGGAAAGTCAAGGAGGGAAAGAGTCTAGCCTCAGACTCTATTCTCCAGCCGTATGCCAGCCTTGAGTGGGGTTAACCCTTTGCAGCCCCTTGAAGAGGAGCCTGTGTGTAGTTTAGGTCAAATCAGGGATGGGGGCAGTTGATCAGCCTGAGGAAGGGCCCCACTTATCCAGCACAGGGGCTCCTGGGGAGAAATGGTCCTAGCATCCCAGCTGCCCCATGAGAGGTTGACATATGAGGTGAAGAGTTATGGGGTGCATGTAGGGAAGAGAGGTGTGTGGGGTATGGCAGTCAGCAAGCTCAGGGTCCAAGGGGCTCAGGGCTCAGAACTGGGTGGCAGGGACTGCAAAGGTGAGAGCAGGCTTCGGGACTGTCCCCAGTTGAAGGAATTGGTAGCAGGGAGACAATGCTCATACCTGTATTGGCAGCTGGGTCCCTTGAGCTGGCAGAGTTGCTGGCGTAGGCGGCCACGGTACCAGTAGCTGGCACCAAGCAGCACCAGGACTAGTAACAACAGGAGACTGAGGATGAGCCCTGTGGTCAGGGAGCTGTTTGCTGTGGGGTGAGGTCAGGTTTAAAGGTGGGCAGGGTTAAGAACTCTATACCCATGAAGGAGCAGGGGGCAGGGAGTGAAGCCCAGTGATCAGAGAAAGTGAAGCGGTCAGAAAAAGAGGGCCAAGGGGGAAAGGTAAGGAATGAGCCGCTCTGCCCTCCCAGCTGCCCCTGCCCCCACCCCATGCTACCTCTGAGCTGGGTGGTGCAGTCAGGGGGCGCCCAGCCCTTCTCACAGTGGCAGTGCCTATTGCTGTCACAGACCTAGGAGGCACAGGGCAAGTAATGAGGGGCTCTGTACTCGGGAGGCCAAGGCAGGAGGATCACTTTGAGCCCAGGAGTTCGAGACAAGCCTGGGCAACATAGAGAGACCCCCATTCCCCCCCAAAAAAGGTGGGGTCTGTACTCTGGGACTACTTCTCTGTCTCCAGCTTATCATCTCAGTTGTGCTGGGGATGATGGGTAGAGAGAACCAGAGCCCTGGAGACAGGGAGTCTTCTGTGCCAGAGGAAATTAGATCAAATTAACACTGAGCCCTTCTATATGATGGGCACTGTGCTAGAAGCTTTCATACTCATTTCATCTTTTTCTTTTTCTTTTTTTTTTTTTTTGAGACAGAGTCTTGCTCTGTCGCCCCAGGCTAGAGTGCAGTGGCATCAGCCTAGCTCACAGCAACCTCAAACTCCTGGGCTCAAGTAATGCTCCTGCCTCAGCCTCCCAAGTAGCTGAGACTATAGGTGTGAGCTACCATGCCCGGCTAATTTTTTGTTTCTAATTTTAGTTGCCAGGCTAATTTTTTCTATTTTTAGTAGAGACAGGGTCTTGCTTTTGCTCAGGCTGGTCTCGAACTCCTGACCTCAAGCAATCCCCCAGCCATGGCCTCCCAGAGTGCTAGGATTATAGATGTGAGCCACCGCACCCAGCCCATACTTGTTTCATACACCCCAAGAAGTGGGTACTATTATTATGTCCCTTGGATGGATAAGGGAACTGAGCTCAGGGAGGTTAATAACCTGCCCCAGGTCATTCAACCAGAAAGTAGTAGAGCAAGGGTTAGAACCCAGGTAGGTCTGTTCCAAAGCCCAACATCCTTTTTCTCCCTGGAGGCTCTCTGCTCCCCTTCCATTTCCCCCATCCCAGCTCACCCCATGGCCATGGCATTTGCTCCGACATTCCTGTGCTCCCAGGAGATCCACGGGCTGGCATCGATGGGCTATGCATACCTGCCCCATAGGGAGAGAAGAGCAAAGGTCATATTCTCACAAAGCTTTACTGTGACTGGGAGGCCACCAAGGCTTTTACAGATGGGGAAACTAAGGCTCAGTGGGATGGCAGGACTTTGCTCATCTGAAGTAAGAATCTGACTTCCCTCAGAATCTGTGCCTTCTACACTCATGGATGTTGAAGTCTGGGTACTGCTCAACATGGTCCAGGTGTCCCTTCCTACCTGGTCTTGCCCACCCAGGCTGCTCACCAAGCCAGGACCACACGCTGTGCCAGGCAGAGTCAGGAGGGGCTGGGCCACATCGTCGCCTAGGTCCAGGTGCACCCAGCTGCAATTCAGCTGGGTCCCGTTTGCTTCCAGTGTCTCCCCACGCAGATCCCGGACTGAGCCCAGCAGAGGTTGGGCCCTACCCCCTTGGCACTGAAGCTGCCCACAAATGGCATCTCTGGGGGGAGGGGGGAAGGGCACACGGTCAGTGGGAGCAGGGCCAAGGCTCCCACAAACCCAGAGGAGGAGCTAAGTTTCCTCATTTACCTAGGGGCACAGGACACATAGCTGTCTTTGCCGCTGCGCCCACAGCTCCCAAAGGCATCCCCCCGAGTGTTGGCTGTATGGAGGCAAAGTGGCATGGCAGGCTGGGCCCCAGGTCCCCAAAGTGACTGGCACTGCTGGGCATAGGAGGCGCAACGCCCGTGCATGCACACAGCCTGTCCGCCAGCGCAGGGTTCACCATCCCCCAGGCTGACATCAGGGGGACACTGGGAGCTGTCTCCAGGGCAGAACTCAGGCAAGTCACAGTCGCCTCTGGTAGGGCGGCACTGCCAGCCAGCCGGGCGCAGCTGTGGAGGGTGGACAAGCATCAGTATGGGTACTGGGCAAATCCAGCCAGGACTGGGGATCAGAATGACCCTTTCCACCCTGGCCCCAGGCACATGAGCTCTTGTGAGCCAGTCTAGACTGTGCCCACCTGGCAATTTTGACAACAGGGTCCATCAGATGCACACTGTGCCCCTGGCCTCAGCTGGCAGGTGGAGTAATCACAGCAGGGATCAGTGCAGTCCTGTGGGCAAGGGCATAGAGGGGCCGAGCGTCAGAGCAGGCAGGGTCTGAGAGCCTACCTCCAACTCTCCTCCCGGACACCAAACCTAGAAGGACGCCCAAAGCCTCAAAGAGAGTAAGAGCTAGACCCCAACAGCCCACGTGCTGTCCCTGCAGACAGAGAGGTCGGGAGAGGGGTGGGAGGTCCCTTCAGAACCAGAGAGGGGCACAGGAGGCTTGGGCAGGGCTAATGAGCCAGAGCGAGGGCACAGAAGCGAGCGGGGCAAGGCTCTGGGTGAGGGGCTCACATCTGGGAAGCCACAGTCACACTGTTCGCCAGGCTCCACGAGCATATTTCCACAGAAGGCGGCCAGAGAGGGCAGGCTGGGCAGCCGTTCAAAGAGGCAGCTGCCCATCCCCTCCAGGAGGGCTTTCTCCAGGGCCTGTCGGCTGCAGTTGCTGAAGTTCAGGCCTGGCAGGAAGCTGGGGAGGGTAGCAAGGAAGGTTGGGGCTGTGGACCTCTCCCTGCCCCCCACCCAGTCGCCTCTCTACATCCTGCAGCAACTCACTCTGTGGAGGCCTCCATGATGCAGCTCTTGGCTGGGGCTGGACCCGGACAGGGGCAGCTGTTCCCAGGTGAATCATGGTCCAGGCCCAGGCTGTGGCCCAACTCGTGGGCTATGGAGGCGGCGACTCCCAGGGTGCTTGTGGAGTGGTCCTGTCATTGGGTAGGGGTACCCCAGGTCCAGCCCCAGCCTCAGCCTGCCTCCACCGTAATGCCTAGCCCACCCTGTCTGACCTCTTGGGCACACAGTGGGTACTGCTTCCCTCCTTAATTGCTTCTAAAGTAGGGGGAAAGCCCAGGCCTAGGTGGCAGGAAACCTGGGTTCTGGCTCAGCTCTGTGCCCCTCCTTCATTGCAATGGCCCTAGGAGATCACCTCTGTTCTTGGGCCTCAGCTGCCCCCCTACCTTCCTTGAAGAAATGGGAGGACTGCATAGATGAGGACTGTGTACACTGTGATGGGCTGGCCCCAAGCGAGGGGCTGCCAGACAGCAGAGGCCACATCATACACCTCCATCCTCTATACCTAGAGCTTTGGGTTGGGCAACTTTGTAGGGGTGTTTCAGTGAATATACCAGTGGTACCAACCTGGGAGGAACTGAATTGGGAATGGGGAGGAGACCTGGGAATAACTCACCATGTTCACGCCTCCTGAGAATTCAGGAGAACAGATGGAGTTCTGAATGGCCATGCCTACCGTAGGACCAGAGAATGAAGTGCTACTGTGGGGTGAAGAGGTCAAAGGTGAGGGCCAAGAGCCATGGTACTCAGAGCTTCAGGGCCTGAGGTAGGGAGTTGAAGGGGGGTGAATTTGACCAGGGCAGGGTAGAGCCAGGCCCCTCTGGCTCAGTCTGGGGGTCTTACGTCATCAGCTGGGCACTGTCATGGGGCAAGCGAGGCAGCAAGTCTGCCTGGCGCCAGTGGAGGAAGTTGTCTAGCGTGACAGCCGGGTCTGGGCTTATCACCACCAGGTCACGATGGGTCCAGGCCTCCAGGCCCACTAGTGCCACTCGTACATTCAGGGGCCGGAAGAACTGGAAGAGAGCTGGGGCTCAGAAGAGGGGTTGCCATGGTCAGGGGCTGTCGGGCTGCTACCCTGTCCAACACTCACTGTGTCCAACAGAAGGGCCACTTCTAGCGTGCGGTTCAGCAGGCGCTGGAAGTCTGGGTACCTCTGGACCTGTGGGCCAAGAGAGGTGACCGTGAAAGGCGGCAGGGGGGGTGGGGGGTGGGGGAGGATGTGCAGGGGCCAGCAGGCTCACCTCCGAATGATCAGCTACGATCACCAGCTCAACAATCTTGGTCTCTGTCACCACATCCCGCCTCTGCTATGGACAAGAAAGTGGAGTATCAGGCAAACTGCCACTCAGGGCCAGCAGCCGCGTAGGGCTCACCAAGATGTGTCCACTCCTACCTGTGTAGTCAGACAGAGGAGGGTGGACAGCAACATTTTACAGGTGAACTACTGAGGGCCAGAGAGGCCAGGGACTTGCCAAGGACCACCAGGAAGTAGATTATGAAGCTGGGAGTAGAGCCCTGCTTTTCTGTCTCCAAACTCAGTGCTTTTTCCAAATTTAAAATAATAATAATAAAAATAACAATAGCTAACACTACCAAACACTTATCATATGCCCAGCACAGTTCCAGGCACTTTATATATATATATATATATATTGATTCATTTAATTTTCCCAGCAACCCTATAAAGCAAGTAGTTTTATTATCTCCATTTAAAAAATTAGGAAATTTAGTTTTCCTTGCTTTATGATTGATAACTGAGTGTTATCTATAACCAAGTGAGAGTTCTCTGCACATGGGATCATAAGACATGAGGAGTGTGAGCCAAATACCTGCTTCCGAATCCTGCACGTACCATTTATTAGTTGTATGGCCTTGGGCAAGTCACCTAACCTCTTGGAACTGGTCTCTGCATTTTAAAATAGAGCTATTGATAGCACCTACCTCCTAGGGTTGCTGAGAAGAGTAAATGAGATAATGTTCACAAAGTTCCTGGCACGTGGAAATTTCTCCATTAGCAGGAGCTGTTGTTACTGCGAACACATAGCTCTGAGGGTAGGGGTCAGCCCTCAAGACGACCGAAGCCCAGCCCTCCTGCCTTTCATCCTTACCCTGCGAATGTGGCGCTGTCCCTCTGGTGGAGCCTGAGTGGGCACAGATGCACGCCGGCGGAGGGTACAGGTGTGGCCTGGCAGGAGGAGGTCTTGGATTCGGGAGATAATGGGAGGACCCTGAAGGTCCCCAGGCCCCTGCTCCAGGGTGTAGCTTCTCTCTGGAGACAGGACGACTAAGCCCCTAAGGAAAGAGAAAGGTAGTCAGAGAACATTTCAGCTCCATGCCTGGTGTCCCCTCACTCTCTCCACTGTCATGGAATCTATCCACTGTACCTGAGACCAGAGCAGGTGCAGATGGACACCCAGGAGTCCGCATGGCCCTGCACTCCTCCCTGGTAGCAGCAGTTCTCCTACAGCAGAGAAATGTTAGTGCTATCCCGGATGGTAGTCAGGATTTTGAACCCAGGAGTCTAGCTTGTTGGTAAAGATATGCAGTGTCCACCCACATCCTCCAGGGCTGGCACCCCTTAGATGCCCCCTCCCTCTTTCCCCTAGGCCAGAAACTAGGCACAAGAGGGCCTGACTCACCAGAGTGTGTCCCTCACTGACCACCCGAGTGCCATCGGGCTGGTACCACATCAGGGTTGGGCGGCCTAGGGCTGACTCCCTGTGGAGTGAAGAAAAAGGAGGGCAATGCCGGAGCCACCTCCCACGTTGGTATAGTGACAAGCTGAGACCTGGAGGTAGTAGGGGGACTGGGAACCAGGGAGCCCCCCAACCTTCCCACTTTCCCCCGAGGCAGCAGAGTATACCAGTTGGGCCACTGACTCTGCGAGGCTATCTGGGTTCTAGCCTGGTTTTCACCATACTAGCTGTGTGACCTTGGCCAAGTTATTTAACCTTTCTATGCTTTGACTTCTTCATATGTAAAATGAGGACAACAATGCATAATAGTATCTCCCTTAGGGGTTGTTATGAAGATTAAATGAGTGCAAGCACTTAGTACCTAGCACATAGTAAATTCGATATAAGTTGTTAGCCATGCGATCATTATTACAATCGTCACTATTACCTATTCTGTAGCAGCTCCAGGATATGACTTTCACCATCCAGCTCCAATTTGATCCTCAGGGACTCAGGCAGACTGGTCTGTGGGCATCAGAGGGCATGTCACCTCCCAGACATGCCTGCAACTCCTACCCTCTTTAACCAGAAAACCTCAGGCTCTCAGGAGAGCACCAACGATTAGATCACGGGTGGGGGGATCCCAAGGGAAGGGCCAGGAAGCCCTGCCTGGCCAGGGGCATTGTTCTGGGGGGTTGTGTGGGGAGGTCAAGGAAGGTATTTGAGCCGCCCCTTCTCGGCTTCCTGCCCAGAGAGGAAGCATCATAGAGGACCCAGTGCAGGCCCCAGCCCTTCCTCTGACTCAGCTTTGGAGTGTGTGGGGGGTGGTTTGGTGAGGCCCTGACCCTTTCCAAATCCCCCCATGGAGAAAACTGACAACCTGAGATGAAGAAAGCAAGCTTGGCTTCAGAATTTCCCCAGTGGAGATGGGTGGGTCGGGTGGGGCTGAGGCAGACAGATGTGCGTGTAGAGGGGAGAGGGCGATAAGTGAAGCCAGGTGCGGTGGGAGAGGCAGCCAGACCTCGAATGGACCTGCCACAGCGAGGTCTTCTCACCAGCTCCTCAGCCAAGCTTTGGCCTTGAGACACCTGATTGTGCTGGGGGTGAGGGCGAGTGTATATATTTATTTATTAGAGGGGAGAGGGGCGCTCACCTGAAGTACCTCTGCTAGGTTAATCGGGAGGTTGTCCTCAAGGACCTGGGGCTCCAAGGGCCCACTCAGGGCTCTCTCTGACCTTGCCTGCTGCTCCTCAGTGCCACCTGCAGGGTCCCAGGATACCCCAAGAGAGTGCTGAGGGAATCGACACCAGACCCACCAGCACCGAGCACATCGAGGCCCTTAGGTGCTTGAAGGGCTCCTGCATTGCATGCTGGGAGTTAAAGGAGAATACTGGAGGGAGGGGGCTTCTCTCCAATTTATGGCTTTATACCCACCAACATAAACACAAGTCCCCAGAGAAAGAAGTTCAGCTTGCCCAGCCTGTGGCTCCTCCTTGTCCCCCTCGGGCCAATCCCAGATTCTCACAGGCACCCTCCCCTGTTCCCACTCCCTCCCAATCACTCCCCCCTCCCGGGAACGCCCCCTCTCAAGACTGAGCTAAGCCCTGTGGCCGGGTGCCCACTCGCCCTCCCCTTCCTTCACATCGGAGATGCCAGGAACGCCCGTTTCTGGGTGAGCAGTGCAAACACTCCCACCTCCCTAAATACCCCTCATGCCCAGCCAGACACACCCGCTCCCCACAGCCTCGGCTTCCTCCCCTAGTACCCCTCCTACACACAATGGCCCTCTCTCCTCCGGACACCCCACCCGCGCCTGCCCTCTCGGCCCCCAGCCCAAGACAGCAGCGGGAAGTGAAAGTTCCAAGGAGGAGTTGGTGTCCCAGCCTCTTTCCTGGCCAATTCTCCCTTCTCCTGGCTCCCTCCGGGCCCTCCCGCTCGTCTGGGCTTCTGGTGGCAACAGCACCAGGGTGAAGGTACCTGGCCGCCTAGGCCTGGGATAGGCGCTAGAAAGAATCCTCGTCACTAAACCCTATAAGCCGTGCCCACTCGGCGCACTGGCACCGGGTGGAACGGTCAGTTAGGCCCCAGAGGAGCGAAGATGTCAGTCCTAGGAAGCAGCAACCCTCTTTCCACGATCCTGAGGGGCGCTGGGCAGGCCCTTCGGTCCCTGGTACCTGAACCTGAAAGTGTCCGCAGAGACCGCGCAGAGGACCGCCAGGAGTGGGGGGGCACCGGCATCCCCAGCTTCCCCTGCCACTCCATCGCTCAGTCGCCGGGCCTTAGGCCCAGGACAGCAGACCAGGGCGGGCCGCGCTCTGTCTGGGCTCTCCCAGGATCTCTGGCCGGCCCCAGAACTCCAATGCCTTCCGATTTCCCTGCACCTCCTCCCAGCCCACCCCCGACCCACTCCAGACTGAGGACTCACCTATACTTGGGAGCGGCCAGGTGGGCAGAGGGCTGCCCGCGCCCAGGAGCCCCAGGGCCCACAGCAGCGCCAGCCGCATGGCAGCGGCGCCCTGGGTTGGGCGAGGGCAGCAGGTGCGAGACCGCTCGCGGAGGAGCCGCCCGCGGCCGGGTCTGCTTGGAGCGCCCTGCCGCGCAGCGCTGCCACCAGGCCCCGCCCCGCCCCCTCCCACCCAGGGCACGCAGCCCCCCCCCCCCCCAACGCCAGGCACGCAGCCCCCCCCCGCCTCCCCCCGGGAGCGCCGCCCCGCCCCCTCCCACCCGGCCCCGAGCCAGGCTCCGGCCCGCCCCGGCTCCGCCCCCGACAGGCCACGCCTCCGCCGCGCGCCCGGTTCTACAGGAGCCGGAACCCGCTCCCGCCCCCGGCTCCGCCCGCGCTTCTCCTCTTGCCCGCTTTCCCTCAACTGCGCAGGATGCGAGGTGGGGCCCGGTCCCACCGGCTTGGGCGTCGCGCCTTCACCTGGCCCCAGGTCTGGCCCTCTCCCTAGTGGCTTCGCCGTTTTCCCGCCTCCTGTCCGCGACCGGGCCCTGTGGAGATCGGCGAGCCAGTTCTCCCGACTGCCGGCTGGGCAGCGCCGGGCTCTTCCAGTCCCCGATTCACGCGAAGCGCGGGCAGCGAGAGCGTACAAAGCGTTTTATTAAACGGGAGGGAGCGGGGCGGGAGAGCAAGCCAGACGCCCCTTCACTCTGCGTAGGTGGTGTCGTCATTGCTGTCACTGAAGGCGGAGGAGGAGAGCTCCTCGCGGGGCGTGCAGACCGGGCACCGCTGCCGCATGTCGTCCCAGCACGACAGGCAGTACACGGCCTCGCAGTCCAGCGTCGGGCACACGTAGGACTCGGGCGTCTCGGGTGCCAGGCACACCACGCAGCGCCGGCGCAGCCAGGGGCGCAGGAGCGGGCAGCGGCGGTGCAGGATGTCCACCAGGTGGTGGCGCTGTTGGGAGGTGGGGGTTAGAGCCAGTTCGGGAGCGAGGGGCGAAAGAAGGGTTTGAGAAGGGAACTGGACAGCGCTTCTTGTCTGAAGTCAGGAGACCTGACAGTGCCCACATGGGCGAGGCTGGGTTGGGCAAAGAAGACCCCTGGAGGGCCAGTGTGCTAGGGAAATGGGTTCTGGAGAGCCTCCCTGCCCCACTCCGTGATGGAGAGTGGGAGGATGCAGCCTCCCGGCTCTCTCCCAGTGGATATCTCCCAGCAACTATCTTTTGCGGTTCTCACGTGAGGCTGAGAAATGAGTAGGCCAGATAGACTGTCACTATTGTTATCCCCACTTTACAGACAAGAAAGATAAATCTCAGAAAGGTGAAGTGACTTTCCCAAAGGCACACAAATAGTAAACAATCAAACCTGGCTGGACTCACATGTGCTGATTCCAAATCACAGGCCCAGTTCATTATTCTCTCCCCTCCCCCATACACTGTCTCCACACAATTGCCAGGAATAATTCTTCACAGGCCACCTTATTAGGTCACTCTTTGTTCAAGAAGCTCCAGGGGCCCCACTGCCTGCCTGCCAGGCAGAACTCCTGGGTTTGGCCTTTAGAACCTTCCATAATCTGGTCCCTCTCTAGCCTCTGCTCCATTTTGCCCCTCCCCGAATGCTGTCTCTTGTGTGCCAGTTTCTCCTTAGACTAGCCCTGGCACTTGGCAGTCCCTTTGGACTCTGAGTCTTTGCACATTCTGTGCCCTCAGCTTGTAATGACTGTCCCTCACATTTCCATCTGCACACTCAAATCCAGCTTACTTCAGGACCCTGTCAAGGAATCCCAGTAGGTTCTTTTTTGTTGTTTGTTTTTCCATAACACATTCATCTGGCCACCCCTATTGTGTGTCATGGGGGCTGGGAGGGTCTAGGCACTGGAGGAAAAAGTTAAGCAAACACAGTCTCACTATTATGAACCTCGTGGAAGGATGGCTACACTCATTGGTTATAATATCAGGCCCTGTACTAAGATACTGTAAGTAATTCAATCAATAATCATATAAGGCAGACAGTGTTATTATCATCATCTCTTTTTCAGGTAAGAAAACTGATCCTTGGAGAGGTGGTCACTTGCCGAGGGTCACATGATGACAGCAAACATGTATACAGAACTTGCTGCATGCCAGCACCATGAGAGTAAAACTCATTTAATCCTTACAACTTGATGGAGTAGTTAATGCCATTTTACAGAAGGGAAGAGCTAAGACAGAGCAGTTAAGTAATGTGCTCAAGATCCCACAGTTGTCATGGTAATAAGGGGAGGAGCCAGGATTCAAACCCATGCCCTCTGGCTCTAGAGCCCCACTCCTGACCCGCACTCTGTACTCATCTCTAGTACAGCTCACTGACCTCCAGGAGTTGTATAACTGGGGCCTTTAGCATGTGTCACATCAGAACTCACCAAGTTCAAGTAGGCCGGGGACCACTGGTAGGTGCTGGGTGGACTGAAGGATCTGCCCCCTCCCCCACAGTTCTTAGACCTAGCCAGGAGCTGGCAGGACCACGCAGGCCTGGACTTACTGGAGCCTTCTGCTGTCGTGCCTGCCTCACGATGGCAGCCCTCCTCAATTTGGTGAAGGCTGCTCTCTTTTTCAATAGATCGTTGTAGAAGAACAAGATCCGCTTCTTCTCTCGCTGGGGGCAGGAAGGGGAGGAGGAAGGCATCCCGCAAAGATGGAGTTGGTGGGAAGCTGGTGCAGTGCGTGTATGTATGCGTGTGCACGCGGCTATGTAGGGGTGGAAAGGTCTAGGGAAGGACACACCTTGGGGAAGTAGAAGGCTGCGATGACCCTCCGGAGCCGGTAGCCGAAAGCCTGTAACAGGCAGAGACACAGTAGCAGGCCAGTAGGTAGTGCAGCTCTCCAATAGGCCCTGGCATCCAGGCCCACAGGCTGGGGCAGGCAGGCTGGGGAAGAGGGAAGACCCATCAGGGGTCTGGTCAGGGTTAGCCTAGGGACAGGGCAGCTCTGGGTTGAACCCCCCTATCCCAATGGGAAGTGCATGTTAGGCCTCTGATCCCCGCTCTCCTTCTGCCTGCCCCTCACTCTGCAGAACTGCACTGTTAATACCATAGCCGCTAGGCCCATGAGGCTGTTTGCTCAATGTGGGACAGATCTTGAAAATTTCCACCATGGCAGGAAGTTCTGTTGGACAGTGTTGCTCTAGAGGGCTGGGACCCTCTGGTCCCAAGACCCCAGTCTCCAGACTCCTTCAACTCAAGCCCATCATCCTCCACTTCTTCAAGCCTGCCCAAGTGCGCCATGTTCTGATTCCCCAACTCAACCATTCTGACCCCCATCTCTCCACACCCAAGGTCCATTCTTTACCTAGGAATCTTTTTTTTTTTTTTTTTATAGACAGAGTCTCCTCTCTTGCCTGGGCTAGAGTGCCATGGCATCAGCCTAGCTTACAGCAACCTCAAACTCCTGGGCTCAAGCGATCCTCCTTCCTCAGCCTCCCAGGTAGCTGGGACTACAGGCACGTGCCACCATGCCTGGCTAATTTTTTCTATTTCTAGTTGTTTGGCCAATTTCTTTCTATTTTTAGTAGAGACAGGGTCTCGCTCTTGCTCAGGCTGGGCTTGAACTCCTGAGCTCAAACAATCCGCGATCTGCCCGCCTCGGCCTCCCAGAGTGCTAGGATTACAGGGGTGAGCCACCGCGCCTGGCCCACCTAGGAATCTTTTGACCTTTGCTCCCAGCCCTTGATTTCTCTGATCCAAACTTTCAACCTCACTCACGCATGTTGTTTGATTTCATCACTGTCTCTGAGGAAGTGTTCAGGGCCCCAATGGTTTTCCTAAGAAGCCGGGCAAGCATGGAGTCTCCTCCAACCTTCACCTCCAGTTTATGACTGCCTGAGGCCAGGAGAGGGGGTGGGGAGTCAGGAAAGAGCTGGAGTTAAGGGGGTGGGGCAGGATGGGGGCTGGATGTTGGGGAAGAGTCAAGGCACAGACATACATCTCAGCTGCACAGGTCTTTCCATGACTTCAGTGAACCCTAACCCCTCCCTGTTGTAAATGTAAAGGGTTAACTGAGGCCCCCAGCGACAGCTGTCAGGTTGCAGGGCTGTGATTTGACCTAGAGGAGGATGAGGGGGCGAGGAGCTGAGTCACAGGAAAGGGAGCAGAAGAAGCAGCAGGACGAGGTGCCATTGGAAGAATGGGGCGGGGTGGCTGCACAGGGGTTGGCCTTCTCCAGGGGTTGTCTCTTGGGCCTGGAGCTTGGAGTGTGGTATGGCCTCACTGTGGAAGGAGTACTCCAGGAAGGAGTGGTGGCGGATGGTGTCGAAGATGGAGTAGAGAGCCCAGTCCAGTCCGCACAGCACCAGCAGCAGCAGCAGAACGGGCAGCGTCTCCAGGAGCTCCCTCACCTACCCGAGGAGTGGGAGGGTAGACCTGGGCCCACTGCCTGCCTGGGCACGGAGCTCTCGGCGCCTCTGCCCTCCACCCTCAGCTCCAGGCCTGTGGCTGCATCCAGGAGCCTGCTGCCCACGCCGTCCTCACCACATTTCTCATTTCTGAGGCCTGGATAGTGGGCTTGCAGGGGAAGATGACGGTTTTCTCCTCGGCTTTGCGGAGCGGCAGCAGAGTCCGTTTGCCCTGGAAAAATATGTCCACACAGTTAGGAACTCCAAGGGCCCGCTGCCCTTTCCCTTCTGCCCTCCTGGAGCATGAAGCCCACGCAGGGCACAGAGCAAGGCATCCTTGGGCAGGGCTGTGCCCTCTCACCAGCTGCTTCCTACGTTCATCGATCTGACAGAAGTACGTGCTGATGTAGACATTGTCAAAGCGAATGTCCTGGTTATAGCTGTCCATGTAGGAGAAGGACCTGTGGATGGATGGACGGTGATGTCTCCATCTCTTCCTCCACGTTCTCCTCACACACTCTCAACCATGGGCTTCCTTGAGCCACAGTCATTCAACTGACCAACAGCGTTCACTGAGCACCATCTATGTCCTTGGCCCTGTGCGAGGCAGTAGTGATAACAAGGAGACTCTGCCCGTCTTCCAGCTGTGGACTGGGAGACACCCACCTCCACGCAGGAGATGAGGTGGGGCTTAGAGGCAGGCACGGCCAGCAGGTCCAGGAGCAGGGAGTGTGTGCATGTGAGGTGGCAGCAGGCCAGCAGCCTGCAGGATGAATAGCACGCAGAGGGACAGAGACGGAGACCTCCTCAAGGCTGCAGGAGTCACCTACTCCACCAGGACTCCCGCATTCACCTCTCAAGTCCCTGCCTCTTGGTGTTACCTGCAGCACATGTCTTGGAGGTTACCTCAAGCAACGCTCACCGCAAACCGCCATCTCCCTGCCACCAGCACACCTTTACCCCGCCCTGGCTACCCTTGAGCACGGTAGTGGGGTGTGTGTGTGTGTGTGTGTGTGTGTGTGTGCATGTGTATGTAGCTATCCTCTGTCATCTCCCAAAGTCCCACGTTTCCTAAGGAAGAAATGTTAATTGTTGGAAATGTGTTTAAAACTGTAAAAGTACATTAAATAAACTCTGTAAAGTGTGAAACATAAGTTCCAATGCTATTGGTTCTGGGGCCCTGTAAAAATCCCTATCTTTGCCTTTAAAATAGAAACACTGTAACTATAAATGCAAAGGCTGTGAGCGCCCCCTTGTGGAAGGACCCATGGTGGCGGTGCCTGGGCTTACTGAGCGGGGCTGCCCTCTGGCCAGCTCTGTCCTTTTAGGGAGTGACCTCACCCAGGTTGAAAGCCTGGAAGTGGCTTTGGACTTTGTGCCTCCTTCTTCCCTCCTGAGCTGGCTCTGAGACCTCCTGCATCTATCCCTTTCCTCCCTCCATCTCAAGCCATCTTCCTGCCACACCCCACCCCAGCCAGGCTCCTGACCCAGCCTGACCTCACTACCTCCAGCCTGCCCAGTCCATCTTGCCACCACCCTCAGTTCTGGGTCTTCCTTCAGGGCTTTCCAGACTATTCTGGTCATGCCCACTTCAGCCCAGTCCTTCACCCCAGCCTCGGCCCTCTGCATCCCACGGATACTAGGATCCTTGCCCAAGGAACACCCTTCTTTCCTTGACCATAGCTCCCCATCTGCAGCCTTGTGGAGTCCAGTTATGGCCCTTCCAGGGGCACCTCCTCAGCTCTCACACCTGTCCTGATAGCCAGTCCATATGGCCCTTGAACCATCTCTGTCTTGTGGGTGTCTCTCTCACCACCCCCACTAGACCATGAGCTTCTTGAGGGCAGGAATATGGCTCATTCATCTTTGTCCCCTTACAGGGCGCCAGGTACACACACAACCCCTCCCTTGCAGTCACTCTGGGACCCACAAACAGGGGCAGACAGAGAACAGCTCCTGTGGCTGCCCTTGCCCAGCCCCTGCCCACCCCAGGCGTCTGGGGTGGAGACGGGAAACGGAGGGTCCAGAGGTCAGCAGGGAACAAGACCAGAGAGGCCCAGGCTGCCCAGCTGGACACTGGGCTGGGTGGGGTTGAGGACTTTGTTCTAAATGGAGGGAAAGTAGCTGCCAACGCAGCAGGCAGGAGAAAATGAAAGCAAAATTGGATGATAAAAATGGCACAAAGTCAGAGCCAAGGGGAATATGAAGGGCAAGAAAAAATCAAAAGTCAAAGCTGAATGTAAAAAAAGTCAGTTTTGGGACAAAGGCTGGAAGGAGGTGGATAAATGAAGACGGTTGCCCTTTTAAGATGGTGGGAACTCGGGTAATGTTTCTTCTGAAAAAATGTCCACATTTCCTTTGACTCTATAAACAATGAGCTCAAGAAAGCAAAGTTAAAGGTAAAAACATTCCGATTCGGAGCTGGGGATGGGATCTGCAGTTCCATCTTTATCACCTCCCTCAGGGCAGGGCCCCCATCCAGGGCGAAGGAAGGGCTGCTGGGGCGGGGGTCATGGCTCACGCGTGGAGGACCAGCAAGAAGGTGCAGGACAGCAGCACGTGCAGCAGCCCCAGGGCCTGCTCCAGCCAGGCCTCCTGGCGTTCCACGTAGTCCCGCACCTCGGTGCTCACGTGCTCCCAGCTCGTGTTGAGGCCCAGCACCCCGGCCTGCTTCTCCTCCTGGTGGAAGGCAGGTGTGCAGGCTCAGCCTGCTGCAGTCTCGCCAGACCCAGACCCAGCCTCTTGGTGCCATCTCTCCCCCGCAACCTGACTCATGTCCCCAGGATCCTCCCAGGATCTTCAGGAGTTGTCCCTTCTGCCCACTACCCTCCTTGACACAGTATTGCTTCCTTGCCCGTATATCAGCTGACACCATCTCACACCTGGCTGACCATCCCCAAGCCAGGTCCATGCATACCTGGCTTGGCTTTGTCCCCTCCCCCGCAACACCAACACCACACCCCTCCTTGTCCCCCTCCCTCATCCCCAGGCACCTCTTTCCTGTGCCCTCTCACTTGTCCTTCCTCACGCCCTATTCCCTAATGCTCTCCTCCCACTCCCTATCTGCCTCACCCCCACGCCCTTGCCTCTTACCTTGAGGTCAATACTGGCTGAAAATTCCCCACCCAGGCCATGAATAGACTGGTTGAGGGAGTCGTAGGTCTGCCCAAAGTTGCCTTCCACTGGGATGCGACTTCGGCACCAAATCTCCATCACTGGTGGACAAGCGGGGCCAGGCGGGGGCTTCGTGCCCAGCCTCCAGCCCAGGCCTGGCAGGCCTGCCCACCCGCCCGGGTCCTCTGTCCTGCCTTTTCCTCTCTGCATGGCTGTCTGCCACACTGAGTCCTCCCCTCTCTGCTCTCTTTGGATTCCTCCTCCCAGGAGCCAATCCTGATTTCCCCCATCCCCTCCCCCCACCGTTCTTAACCACAACCAACACCGATATTGGTTGCCAGCATCTACAGTGCGCTTCCTCTGCGTGCCAGCTGTCACGTGTTTCACAGGCTTTAGCCCCTTTCCTCCTCAAACACTCCTAACGGGATAAGCGCTATTATTACGCCCATCTTTCAGATGAAGAGACGAAGCCCGGAGCTTTGCTATAACTTACCCTGGGCCACAAAGCCAGTCAGGGGATGGGCTGCCTTGGAGGGTGCTGTGTCCTCAGAGCCCAAGCCCTCCCCATCTGATTGCTTTCCTGTGCCACACCTACCAGTGGCCCCCAAGGACTCAGCTCCCTAGCCCTTGTGCCCCCCACCCTCCTGCCACTGTGCTGACCCTTGGAAATGCTACAGAAGAACTTGAACTTCATGGGCAGACAGAGCAGGTGGTTGAGGAGTGGGACCCAGATGTGTTGCATGCACTGTTCATGCTTCCGGTCAAACCAACGACGGCAGCTGAGTATGGCCCGGTTCACCACATCTGCAGGAAGGAGGAAGGGATGTCTAAGGTCCCCATATCCTGACCTGGAACCCTAGCCCTGTGGCCCGCCCCACCCTTCCCTGCTCAGGGATACCCCTCACAGGAGCAGCGCAGCTTGGTCTTCAGCTCATACATCTTCTGTGTTGAGAGGTGGAGTCTGGAGCCTGGGGCTTGGGGGGTCTTTATGCCTTGGGCTGTCTCCTCTGAGTCCATGACATCCTCTGGCTTGTAGCCAGCCTCACTATTCACCTGGCCATCCAGGTCTTCAAAGGAAGTGGTGATGTTCTGAGTCTCTGCTTTCAGTGATTCTTTGCTGCCCTGGAGTTGAGAGGGAGGAAGGACTGGGGTGGCAGGTGGGGGCTTAGAGCTTCTGCTGCCTGATAGCCTGTCCTCCCACCATTAGCCCAGCTTTGGGCTCTTACCCCAGGCCTACAGGGAGCCCAGACCCTGCGACACAGCCTCTCACCTCAAATTCCCCACTGTCCATAGTCTTGGGGAGCTCTCTCCTCTCCCCGGCTGCCTCACCTGTGCCCACGTCTTAGCTGCCCTTGTGTCCCAGGCTCCCAGTTCCTCCTCAGGCCTCCTGTCCCAGATCCTTACTAAACAGCGGTTCCCCAGGTCCTTGGACGCACCCTTCACCACCAATCTTTTAGATCATTATGCCATCTGAATGTCCCCAACTTCCAAACCCCTCAGTCCCCATTTCCCCTGTTCTCCAACTCTCCAATCCTCCCAAATCCCCAGTCTCTAGCCCTGGAGTATCCAATTCCCTAGTCCCCTGGTCTTCAAAGCTTCTGAACTACTCAAGGCCAAGGCCCCTAGTTTTCCTAGATGTTCTAGTTCAGCTGCCCAGAATACTGCCCACTCAGGTATTTGGAAATGTGTGTAGGGCATGTTCCAATGACTAGGGGGCTCTCCTGGCATCTAGTGTCCCAGGAGACCAGGGTACATTCAGCAATGCTCAGAGATAGTTCTGCAAAACATGCCAGTAGTATCTGCATTGGGAAATTGTAAAGCCAGGGTGACGGCTCCCAGCTCAAGGCAACTTGGCCAGGGGAGAGGGACCCCCAGGCCCCGCCTGTGCAGAGTCCTGACCAGCAGGTCCTTGAACACGGCTCGCAAGGGGGCCGTGGAGATGCGCCAAGCCGCGCGCGTGTTGTTGATCTGCAGTTCCACCGTGCAGCCCAGCGATGATATCATGTCGTTGAGGTTGTGCCGCAGATTGGCCACTGGCCCTAGAGGAAGAGGCCCTGGTAGGTCACCTCTCTGCAGAACCAATACTTTCTCAAACCCACCCTAGCTCGTTCTCTGTAGTCACTGACCATCTTCTAGAAATGTACAATGACGGGGCCAAGAAGCCTGTGAGAGGTTGTCTCACTCAACCCTTGATTTTTTCACTCCTGTAAACTGAGGAGGCCAGAGATGGGGAGGAGCTCTCTTAGGGACACACAGCAAGTTGGAGCAGCTGGGATTAGACCTGCACCTTTTCTCCTTCACCAGGCCTGGCTCCCACTGGGTGGCCCACCCAGGGTCACTGCTTCAGTGTCACTAACCGGCACCCGGGGGCACACACTCACCCTCATAGATGGCAGCCAAGGCGTATCCCAGGACAAAGAGCCTCCCTTCTCTGCCCAGCATCTTGGGGACTAGCAGGAGGCTGGCACAGCGGATGTGAGGGGAAGTCCCCCAGCCTATGGCCCCCAAGCCTGTCAGGAGAGCCCAGGAGATGGTAAGGCAAAGTGAGGAAGCCATCTTGCACCATGTTTACCAGGGCACCCACCTGCAGCCACCCTGGCTGGAGCCACCACTGTCCTGTCCTTGTGCCCATTTACATGGACCTCATAGGCCTTCTGGGCCACTCATTCATTCATTCAACAGCCACTTACGGAGTTCAACTGTGTGCCAGTCTCTGGAAGGGCATGGAGAGATGGCGAGAGGTTAAAAAGCCATGGATGTGTGTGTGTGTGATGTGCTTGTTTGTTTATATTAGGGAAGGAAGCCAACACTTTCCATATCCAGGATGGAGTCGCACTTACCCTAAGTGCTGAAGGGAGCAGAGAGAGCAAGAGAAAAATTTTGGAAACTAAGCACTGGTGCTCCGAGTGGTCAGAAGAGAGGTCAGAGCCCACCTCGAGATTCCCAGTGCTCTGACACCCACAGCACTCACAATCTCTGCCTCTAATTTTAGCCCTTAACCATGCCTGGTATGTTTTAGAAGTTTCACATGTGTCTCCCTGTGGTCTCTGCAAGGAGACAGTGAGCTCCTCGAAGCTCATAATCCAGGGAGAGAGACAGATGAGTAAACAAATGACTGCAGCACGATGTGCTAAGTGCACAAGGGCGGTGCTTACAGAGAGCTGTGGGAGCCAAGGAGGGAGTAGGTATTTCTGCAGGGAGAGGTGGGGCTGGGAGGGCTGGACAAAGGAGATGATGTGTCAGCTCAGCCTGGAAGATGAGTAAGTGTTGTTAGGGGTGCGGATGGCATTCCAAGGGAAAAGGAACAGCATAAGCTGGTTGGGAAGCTAGAAGATTCCTCTGTTGATGGAGTGTTCACCCAATGATCACCAAATCAAATCCCAAATGCTGACATTTCCCTCCATCTACCCTGTCCTCATAGCGTCCCCATCATCTCACTGGGACTGTAGCCTCCTAACTAGTGTCCCTACTGTCTTTCTTGCCACCTTATACTTCAATTTTCACAAAGTAGCCAGAGTGTAAAAACATAAATTGGATCATGTCCCTTGCCTGCTTCAAACCATTCAGTGACTTTCTGCCACATTTGGGATAAAATCCAAACTCCTTTAAGATGGCCTGCTGACCCTCGTGATCTGGCCCCTGCCTACCTTCTGAAGTGAGCTCATGCTACTCGGCCCCTCACCCACCACGTCCACCCACGCAGACTTTGTTGCTGTTCCTTGGACACGCCAAGCTCATTCCTCCCCTCAGGACTCTGCCCTGGCTGTGTCCCTGCCAGGGGCACTCCTCCCCCAGTTCTTCACATGGCTGCCTCCACCTAGTCATACAGGTTTGTGGCAAACCCTGTCGGGTGCCACCCTGCAGTTTTTTCTGCCTTCCTCCTTGCTAGCACAACTTGGGTTTTGTTCAAGAGCAATAGCCTGGCCCTGTCCCGGCCCCTGGGGGGTAAATCTGGATCCGTCTAAATTCATCGTGGTGTAACAGGACATTGCAAGGGTCTTGTTCTGTGGTCTTGGCCTTCTAGCTAAAGACTCAAGCAAGTTGAGGACGATGGTTGATAAATAGTTGCCCTAGGTTCTACAAGAGCCCCCTGGAACTGCAGGTCTCTTCGCTGGGTTACCAAAAGAGCAAAACTAGTCTTTCACTCCTCTACCCCGAGTCCGTGTAAAGAGGCCAGCAATGTGAATCTCCCGGAAGCGGAAGGAGGCAGCTGGAGTGGGCAGGCACGGAGGGAGCGTCTGTGGAGAGAGTGGGCATCACATGCCAAGTGAGAGGCTGCAGGGGTCCAAGGCTCTTCAGGGACTGGTGCTGCAGGAAGGGGGACCTGCCTCGTCCCTCCTGGATGGGACTTCTGCCAAGCCCTCGCAGGGCAGCTCCAGGGCTGCCACCAAAGCACAGAGTTGAGGGAGCATTTTTGGGGGTGCTGAGCAGGGCCTGAGACTGGTCCCAGCCCCTCATCAGGGCAGGAGAGAGGGCAGCCGCAAGGGGCCCTGCTTTCCCTGTCTGGCAGGGCAAGGATGTATGCATTTCCTCCAGGACAAGTGGTCATTTTGGGGGGCAGCAGACCCTGAGTCATCTGTGAGGTTACACTCCAAGGAGGCAGCCTGCTTGAGGGACAGATGCAAAAGTAAGAGGCTATGGTGTCCTGTAGGAGCTAAGGGGGGCTTTATAAGAGGTCATCCAAATAGAACTGCCCTCTGCAGGGAACTGGGCTCTGCCGAGGTCCACACAGAGCCCGCACTGAGACCACACAGGCCCGCTGACACGGCCAGGCTGTGAGCTCCTGCCACACAGAGGGCACCAGCAGTGGAATCATAATAGCATCGGTGACTTCAGACTTTTGTCCCTTTTCCTCTTATTCTTCTAATCTCCTTTCGGACATCAGAAGAACCAAAAAGGGAAGGAAGTGGAGAAAAAAGTGGAAGAGCAGGCCAAGCCCCTTCTCTACGGCAGGACCCCGTGCCAGGGATCAGGCCTGAGCTGAGGGCTGGGGTTAGGGTGAGGGAAGATGCTCGAGAATGAACGTGAGGTTGAAATTTTGATGTAGAGTGTGTTGGACCTCTCAACCCCCGAAAAGAAGTCACAATTCCTGAAGTGAGGCTAGGTCTCGCTTATTTTCTAGAGGAAAATAAGCTTTCTTTGTGAAAGGTCAGCAATGGGAGAACATTGAATGTGGTGGTCACAGAAAAAGTAGTTTCCTGTTGATATCCGACAGGATTCATTCAATAAACTGATGAGACGCTATTCCATTCCCCTTGCCTGGGATGGATAGGTTCAGGAAAGGACATGTGTTGCAGTTCTCACCAGAGATGGGAGGGGAAGTCTGCTGGGGTGATTATAGGGAAGTTTTCCTAGTTCCTAAAGAGGGACATGAGAAAGGGATGTTCCTTTCTTTTTTTTCCGGCCTTTGACATTGTTGTATGAAGATGTGATGCCTGGACTTGCTGCAGCCATTTTGTTACCTGAAGAGGAGGGGTTGACAAGCCAAAGATGGCAGAGGGAAAAGACCGAAGGGACCCGAGTCCTGGGTGGGTTACTGAGCTGCTGAATTATCCAAACTCCAAAACCACCCTACCTTGAAACTTTTTACTATGTGAGATAATAAACTTTCTCTATGGTTAAACCACTTTCAGGTGGGTTCTCTGTTCTTGCAGCCCAATACCTCCTGATACAAGATCTCCATTCCAAATATCACCTTCTCTGAGAACCTTCCCCGACTATTTGAGCGAGGGTAGCTCCCCAGGCCCTTTCTATCACATCCCCCTGTTCCACTTTTTTCATATTACTTGTCACCATCAGAAATGCTCTTATTTATCGTTCACTCATTGTCTAACTCTCTCCACTGGAATGTAAACTCCAAAAAGCCTGGGTGCTTGTCAGCCGTGCTCCCTGCTGAATCCTCAGCACGTGCTCAGTAAGTGCCGGATGAATGAATGAATGAATGAATGAACAAATTGAATTTCTCAAGAGAAGGAGAAAACGAGGCCAGAGAGGTCAGGAGAGATGAGGATTATGAAGGGTTGTGGGGTTTGGACCATGTCACATGGGCAGCAGGGAGTCCCTTAGATTGGGGAAGGACAGTGTCTTCTTTCTTACATTGGAAACCTCTTCCCTCTGGACCTCCCCCTAAAAAGCCTGAGAGGAGGCTGAAGCCACAGGGAAGCCTGGGTACAGAAGACACAAGCTCAGACTCCTTCCTGGGCATGCGGGATGGGGCTGTGCTCCTCAGACCTCTCGAGAGAGCCTGGCCTTGCCCAGCACTAACCCACCAAGCTGTACAACATCACCATCTTTTGCTCTTCATAGATGTCTATGGGATTCACCAGGAGCTGAAAGAGACCTAAGGGCACAGGGCACAGACCTAAGGGCCAAAGGTCAAAACATGGGTCCCAGCCCTGGTCCAGCCCCTGCCCACCCTTGACCTTTTGTTTCCACACTCACCTATGGCCAGGAGCCCCCCAGCGCCTGCCCCCAGCAGGAAAGCAGTGACAGGAAACTCGCCTGGCTGGCGCCACAGGAACTGGCTACAGGACACTGGCAGCCCCCAGCTCAGGAGCCTCTGCACTGCTGAGAGGTGGGACGGTTTCTCTCAACAGTCCACTCTTCTGGCTGGGATGTGGCTCATTAGGATTGGGGGCTTGTAGGGGGACAGAGGCTGGGAGAGGATGAGGGACCCTGAAGAAGTAGGGCTGGGCTGGAGGGGGCTGCTGGATGAGAGGGGTGGGGGAACCCCTGCAGGAGAGCGGGGGTGAGAGGAGTGGAGGCTGGAGGTGCTGGGAGGGGGCGGGACCTCTGGTGACTGACTCACTGGAATGGGGTGGTTTCCTTCTCTGCCCTTTGGCTCCATTCTGATGACGTTTAACATCCATGAGCCTGTGCTGGGGAAGCCCCTCTCATCCCAGAAGGCTCCTCAAGGACTTCTTTGGACGTGAGGTTCTGGGGAGAGCGGGGAGGGGCTGCCCGCCTCCCCTGTCGCTCACAGCCAAGGTCTGAGCTCCACGTCCTTCAGTCCCTCTGCTCTGAGATGTGGGGAGGATTAGAGACCTACCTATTCCCGCACCAGTCCTTGGAACTGGGTAAGGGATTCCAAGATACATGCAGGAAAAGTCCTCCGGAACCTTAGAATATGGCGAGAAATTCCAGGAACACAGAACCTGGTGGGCATCTCCTAGAGACAGGCAAACATTTGGTCTCAGCAGCCATGCCCAAAGTCATGAAGGATGTTGTGCACCCCTTGGGGGAAGAGGAGCCTAGCATGGCACGATCTTTGGTCCTCAGCGTGGGGGCTTTTAGCCTAGGCTTGTCATTGGCCACAGCCTATGGGCTTCTGGAGCTACTGGTGGAAGGGCATAGCCCCTGGGGCTGCCTGGTGGGCACCCTCATTTTGGCCACCTTCCTTAGCCTGGGCATGGCATTCTCTCGCCAGGTCCGAGTCACTGTCTTCCTGCTGCTGCCCCAGGCCTTCTCCAGTGAGCCTGGCACCCCATGGAAGGGGACAGGTCCTGGGTCAGGAGGGATCCTGGGGGATGGGGAGGATTAAGGGAAATATTCCAAAGACTTACAAGGACTTGCTGCCATGTTCATGGCTGGGGTCCTGGTTCTGATGGAGCTGTCACCCCCAGGGCATGGCCGGATGCTGCTGTTGGTGGCTGCCTTTGGGCTGGTGCTGCAAGGGCCTTGTGCCAACACCCTGCGCAACTTCACCCGGGCCAGTGAGGCTGTAGCCTGTGGGGCAGAGCTGGCCCTGAACCAGACGGCTGAAATGCTGGAGCGGGCCAGGCAGCCCCTTGTCAGTAAGTTTCCTCCGCCTGCTGCTGTCTCCCACCGGCCCCCATGTCCCCCTTGTCCTGCATGTTCTACAGTCCTCGGGCTTCATGCTTCCCTGCTGGTACTGTGTCCTAATCTCAAAGCATCCAGGCCTGGCAAGGACCTCTGGGCCCAGTTAGACCCCTTTACTCGCACCCTCTGGCCTCCTCCACTCCAGACTAACTATCTCCCAGACCAGGCATCCAGGCTCCCCACCTCCGGGCTGGCAGCCCCTCTCCACTCACTGCCCCAGAGGCAAGGTGAGAACCAGCCCCTAGAGGAGAAGCCCACAGTGCCCCTGCCCCTGCCCCTCAGGTGCCCTGAACAAGATTAAAGCTATTGCCCAGAAGGCCAAACAGGTGGCTGACCGGGTCCGCAAGTTCTTTCGGTCAATCATGGACGGTGTGAAGCATATAGGTAAGCACAATACCATGACTAATTTGGGGGAGGTCAAGGGGCACCCGGTCTCCTCACCCTCACCCCTGCCCAGGCCTCTTCAGGCCCCTCCTGGGTGCTGACTGGTATCCACTGGATACAGCACAGCCAAGCCCCTGGCCACAGGCCCCTCCAGCTCTGGGTGTTGTGCTGTTGTTCCCCAAACCCTGAGAAATGGCTGCAGGACTCCAGCCCTGGGTACCAGCCCTACAGCTGTCCCCAGCCAGGGCCCTGCGAAATGTGTGGTATTGGCTCCTACACATTGGTGACGTGTGCAACTCGGAGCTGGGCAACCCTTACTTGAAGTGTGCGCGGGTTTTCGATGATGCCAAGGACAGCTGCGTGAAGGTCATACGACAAGCCTACCACCTATGTTACGTGCTCATGCCCTTCAAACTGGTGCTCTGTGGACTTGCCAGCCGTGAGAAAGCCCGGGCCCGCCAGCAGGGAGGGGCCGATGTGGGGCAGGGGTCTGGGGTGGGAATGTGGGGGTTCATTGGGAGGGCAGGCCCAGGGGAGCAGGAGAGGGCAATGAATATGGAACCATTAAAGATGCCTGGCCCAGTCCGGATGGGGGGCAGAGGGAGGGACCAATGTGGGGGGGGCAATAGGGAGGGGCTAAAGGCTTTGAGCAAATGTGAAGGCTAATAGAAAAGTCAAGAGGCCCTGTGAGAAGGGGGTCCTGGGAGGTGGGGGAGCAGGCCACGTCTCTGCCCCTCCTCCCAACACTCAGCAGTCTCCCACTCTCAGTGGCCGAGGTGTTCTGCGTCATCCCCAAGTACATCCAGCCCTTCTTGCGCAAGGCCATCGGCACCCGTGAGTGACCCCCTCCTAGCCCCTGCCACATACAGTGCTCCCGAGTGGTCTCCCTCCCTCATCCTGGTATGGCCATTGCCAGCCCGGAGTGCTCCCAGTCCATAAATGAGAATGCAAGAGCAGGAAAGGACGTCAAGAGGTCACCCAGGCCAATGTCCGTGCTGTGCAGATTAGGAAATTGAGACCCAGTAGAGGGGAGGTGTCTCATCAAAGCTCGACTTCAGAGCAGGAGCTGAGAGCAGAAGCAGGGCCTCCCGTCCCAAGCTCAGGTCATCGAGATCATTCTGGAGCATCTGTTGAGTGCCAGGCCTGATGCCGGGTGCCAAGCATGCATGGCGATGGCCCAGATGTGGGGGCTTTGTCCCTTCCTCAGTCCACTGTAGGTGCAAGTACTGGGGGTTCCTGGCTGGTCTGTGAGCTGTGCCGGGCCCCTCGCCTGGGTGCAGCTCTGCCCTATCCTAACTCTCCCTGCTCACTCTCCCTTGGACCTGCCGGTCCCAGCTGTGATGAAGTTGATTGACCGGGTGCGTCAGGAGTTTGAGTTCAACATGACAGCCACCCATCACTTCTCTGTCGATCTCAATGCCTCTCGGAGCCTGTCGCAGGTAGCTGTGGACCTCCGCGAGGCCGTCAGCATGAAGCTGTACCGCGCCCGGGAGGCCCTGGCCCTGATGGGCTACACCACGCCTCTGCTGCTCGTGCTGCTCTACTTCCAGTGAGGGCTGCGGGCGGGCTGCGGTTGTGGAGCCAGGGCTGTGGGGACCAGCTCATCCCCAGGGCATCCTGGCAGGCTGAAGTCACAGGGTGGGGTGGGAGGTGCCCTTTGGGGTCTGGTCCGGGGTGCCGGTCAGGCGCCTCACATGCGCCCCCTCCCCCGCCAGAGCCCTGTTTTACTGGTACTGTTACCTGAACCGGGATCATTTCGACAACATCTATATCACCAGCCGATTCCTGCGCATGGAGGCCGTGCGCGCCACGGCGGGGCTGCCCACGGTGCTGCCGCTCAGTGCCCACGAGGCCGGCCGCTACATCCAGCCGGGTGAGGGCCCCCAGGCTGGGGAGAGCAGGGGCTTTCGGGGAGGCCAGGGCTTTCCCCAAGCCCCCTGGCCTGACCCTAAGCCACTGCGCAGGCAGGGATGAGGCAGGGCTTGGGGAAGGGCCAGAGGGAGGAGAAACAACTCAGAGCTCAAGGAAATTTCAAGCTGAGGGGGAGACACAGCCAGTCCTTGGGGAGCTCTTGGTCTGCTGGGGAAAGTGGACACCCTGGAGGATGCGGACAGACAGGAAGGGGCAGGCGGTGCTTCTGGGAACACCCTGGACGTCAGGACAGTGGGAAGGATAGGTGGCAAGTAGACATGGAACCGGGGAAGTGAAGTTGGGATAGGAGTGGGGGCAGGAAGTGTGAATGTGCTAAAGTGGAGGAGAGGACTGCCTGTGAGGTGGCGAGCCAGGTAAGGGGATGAGGGATGCCCCAGGAGGGAGGGATCCTGGCGACTGCGAATGGGTCACTGGGCCCAGGTGGAAACGCTAGGCCAGCTCCTCTAGCCACGGAGCCCGCTGCCCCCGAGCAGTGTTTCCCACACTGGCCATGGGTCCTCATAGCTTCTTCCCCTTTCCTCTTCCTGATGGGCAAACAGGCCCAGGCTCAATCAGGTGCAGGAGCTGGGATCTGGTGGGGGGGAGCACCAGGGAGCACCCTTCTGACCATCCACCCCCACGCAGGCTCCATCTTCCTGTCCCGACGGGAGCAGTTTGTTTACACCCTGGAGACCTTCAACCTTATCCGACACCTCCTCCTCGTGCTGCTCCTGGTCTTCCTGGACTATGCTGTCTTCTGGGTGCTCGACCTGGCCCGGTACCAGTTGCAGGGGGAGATCGTGGCCCGCAGTGAGTGTCTACACCTCCTCCCGCCTGCCGGCTGCAGTCCCCTCGGATTGCTCCTGCGTCCTCCCCATCCGCTCTGAGCCTTCTCCTCTTTCCCACCCTCAGCCCTGGGGGACTGCCTGAATGTCCCCATGTCACTGTTACTCACCAGCCCCTGACCATGCCCATGTTTCAGCTCTATCTTCTGCCTGGTAACACCTGTGTCGAGGTCAAGTTTAGAACATAATAGAGGAGACTGGCTCTAGAGTCAGACTGGCTTGGGTCCAAATCCCAGCTCAGTCCTTTACTAGGCGGTGGCTTTAAGCAAGTTTCTTAACCTCACAGAGCTCCAGTTTCCTCATCGGAACAATGGGATGACGTTAGCAGTCTGTCTGGATTGCTAAAGCAGTAATGAAATTATGTGTATTGACTGCCTGTGACCATCACTTGAGAATGTGCCATGAGCCAAGGAATATAATTAATCTAATTCTGTGTGCCAGAGGACCAACAGAAAAAGTTTCAACCCCCCCATAGTAAAAGACAACCCCCCCCAAACAAACAAAGCCCATAGTCCAGTGCCTGCTGCACAGTCAGTGCTCAGCCGATATTTTAAAATAAAAGCCTCTGGGTGGTCGTGGAGGCAGGGGTGATGGCCTGGGCAGGCAGACCAGACCCCAGTGCCACCCAGCTGGACCAAGGGGCCAGTCCTCGGTGCCAGGACTGAGGTCAGGCCCCAGGGCACCAAGAGGGTGCCTGGGGCATCAAAGGCCCCTGGCTGAAGGTATGGTCCATGCCTATGACCTGGACTGCTCCCCTTTCCACCTTCCAGAAGGTGTGGCCTTTTCTGCATGGTACAGGGGCAACTGCCATGAGTGCCACTTACACAGTGTCTTTGTGCCAGGCCCTGTGTTGGTATCTATAACCGTGAAAGGGACTGGCTATACCGGGAATATTTATCGTGACCTGGTGTCGGCATTTGACGTCCTGCAGCAAGGCAACGTCACTATTTTGTCCCCTCGCTGCCTCCTGCGTCCCTCAGAGCCCGATGCCACTGGCTACGTCGTCATCGGTATCAACCACACCCCGAGGGCCCTGGGGGAATGGACACCATTCAGGGCATAAGGGGCACAGACTGCTGGAGGGGCGGGAGGCCAGGGGTGTGGCTGGCACCTCATGCCCACTGGCAATGCTTACTGTGCCTGCTGTGTCCCCAGGCATCATGTATGGCCTATGCTTCTTCGTCACTCTGTTTGGCAACTACGTCAGTCGGCTGCGGCGAGTCATCTGTGCCTCCTACTATCCATCCCGGGAGCAGGTGAGGGGTCCATGGCGGGCAGCCAGCCCCTTCCCTCCCCAGGGTGCTAAGCCAGTGCTGTCTGTCTTGGCTTTGGGAGCGTGGAGTTCTTCAGCAGCCCCGGCTCTCTCTCCCCTGGTTGAGCCCAAAGCATGTTGCCTGGACTGCAGGCCCCTGGACCCCAGCGGGGCCGGGAGGAATGGTGCCTCTGGGACAGGGCTTCCAGAGACAGGGCTTGCCTCCAGAGTTTTGTTAAAACCAGGGGGGACGGGGCAGTGGTGGCATGCTGAGGGGTGAGGGGAAATTCGCCATTTGTTTACTCATTTAGTCATCATTCACGGAGCACCTACTGCATGCCAGTCATCGAGCTGGGCTCCAGTGTGCCGAGATGAACACATGCAGTCTGGAGCTCACAGTCTCAAGGCAGGCCAGACGGGCTTTTAACAAGACATTACAATTTTAAAAGCACTTTTATTAAGGAGAATAAAGTGCTATGGAAAGCCAGAGGAAAGAGTGGGTAATCCGACCTGGGGGAAGTCCAGAAGGCTTCCCAGAGGAAGGGGCATTTGAGCCAAGCCTAGGGGGATTCACAGGAGTGGGACAGAAGGAAAAGGTAGGGGGTGGGGATGGGTGCAGAGGCCATTCTGGGCAGAAGAAACAAGGGCAAGTGCAACCCCTTTCCTGACCTCAGGAGAGAATCGCCTACCTCTACAACATACTTCTGAGCCGCCGAACCAACCTGTCGTCTGCCCTGCACCGAGCAGTGAAGCGGCGTGCAGCTGACCAGGACCACAGCAGTGTTTTCTTAGCGCTGGCCAGCCGGTGAGACCACTGTCTTTTTCCTATAAGAGTGAGGCGAGAGGGGACAGAAAAAGAGCCAGGAGTTAGAATGGATCCCTCTCTTCCTAAGTGTCAAGAGCTTTGGGCGAAGAGCGTGCCCATTCCGTGCCATTCTGCCCTGGGAAGGAGAATTAACACTGAGAATTCTTAGGGGTGGGGAGTGAAGGGAGAAAAGAGGACAGGGCAGTAGAGAGGTTGTTGCTAAAATCAGAGGGATGGAGGTTAGACTACAGGAAGTCCTCCCTATTGTTTGGAGGTCAGTGCTGGAATAGGAGGGCTAGGCTGGCCTGCTTGGTGTCTGTAACCTCTCTTCGTAGGTGCCCCTGCCTGGGTCCATTTGTCAACCAATTCTGGCCACGTCAGGCCTACTGCCTGGGCTGTGGGCAGCTCCAGGATGAGGAGGACATGGAGAACTTTGTGTCTTGTAGTACCCCAAACTGCAAAGGTGAGACCCCTGAGAAATGTGCCTTTCCCTGCTGGGACTCACCATATTTGCATATGATGATCAACTGTGGAGCTTTCTTTATGGACTTCTTGGATATCTCACCTTTTTTACCCTCCTTTCATTACTATGCATGTTCTCATTTACATAGAGCCCTTAGGTAGCTCATTTTCTCCATGCTTGCCTTAATTCTCCTGGGTATGCATAGGATTTATATGCAAGTGGCATTGCGGCAGTTCCCTACTGTGCGCCCCATGACAGGATGGTCCCTTTGGGGTGGGATAGGGGAGGAAGGGCCTGGAAACCAGGGAACACAGGGGGTTGGTGGACAATCTGAAGCTCACCTCCTTCCCTCCTGGCCTCTTCTAGGCCTCTACTGCCTCACCTGCTTCCGCCTCCTGGACAACACCTGCTCCGTGTGTGCATCTCCCCTCTCCTATCAGGGGGACCTGGACCTGGAGCTGTGAGTCTTTCAGTGGCATGGATGGCTGGGGTCTTTGGGGGCAGTGGGAGCAGCCACCCTTTTCCCAGGATGTCTATGAGCCACTGAGATGGGAGGCTTCTCCAGGGACTCTAGTGACGAGGAGGGCCCCCAGCTATGGCTGGCCGCAGCTCGAAGGAAGGACCCTGAGCAAGAGTGGTTACTGCGGCAACGGCTCCAAGAAGCACTGGACAGGAGCCTCTCGACAGAGTCCAGCTCCGAGTTCAGGTCAGTGGGAAGCAGAAGGAATTGGCACCTGGGAACTGCGAGGCTTGAGCATGTTCTATCCCATCTACAAAGGGCTTCCTGGGTGCCTGGACCTCTGCCAGGGCTGGAGACGGAGATGAGGGGAAGGGAAGGAACTGAAGTTTGCCAAGTGCCGGCTCTGTGTCAGTACTGCTGCCCTGGAGGAGCTCCCCACGCAGCGGGGGACACTGATATCAAATAGATAACAACAGTGTGGAGAGCACCCCGATAAGGGAGTGAAGCATGCTCTCGGCAGCACAGAGGACAGGACAACAAGTTTGGGTTGGGGGTATATTGATGAAGGCTTCATAGAAGAGGCAAAAAAATGAACTGGATCTGGGGGGGCAGCCTGGTGGTTTGCTAGGCTGAGACGGGGCGGAAAGCGTTCCAGGGGGAGGCCTGTGTGACTTTGGAGAATGTGAGGCTTTCAGGAGGGCAGAGCCCAGGGGTGTGTGTCTGAGTCAAGACCTCAGAGGATGCTGGGAGATGAGGTCTGAAGTGAAGGTGAGGAGAGACAGGAAGGGCCTCACTTGCCACTTGAAGATCTTAGGTTGGAAAGTGACGTGTTCATACTTGTTCATACTTGTCATAAGCTAGGAAGGCAGAGCAGAGGTTAGGCACAAGCAGGGGGACCAGAGAGGTGGCTGTCTTAGCCTGGGAGAAGCTGGTGGTGACCTCAGGATTGAGGTGCTGAGGGCGACTGGGATCTCTATGCTTGGGACTGGACAGGTGTTAGAGCAGGAAGAGAAACGGGTTCTGGGTCAAGAAAACTGGCACAGTTTGAGCTTTTTGAGGTGTCTGTGTGTCTCCAGCATCCAGCTGGAAATGCCCAGGGGATAGTTAGAAAGGGGCAGGGCTCTGAGCTAGAGGTATATTTTGGGGGGTTGTTGACTTGGAGACTGTAAGAGAGAGGATGAGCTAGGTCATCCTGGTAGAGTGCATAGCCAGATAGAGGGAGGGGACAGGGACATAACCCCGAGAGCTCAGTTACAAACCAAGGAGAGGAGAGGCTTAAGAAAGCAGGAGAGCAGAGAATATGAAATCAAGTAGGATCATCTGAAGACAGATGGTTAAGAGATCACTGGAGTGGCGTGTTGGCAGTATTTTTCATGGCGTCAGGAAGGCCTAAACCCGATCATGATGGGTTGAGAGGTGACTGGTAGAGAGGACTCAGAAACAGGGTATGTGGCTCCTGCATCACTGTCGCAAGAAGTTTGGTAATTCTATTAATATAATAACTGCTGTAGTTTTAAAAAGTAAGCTTGATGGTGAAGAAGGGGGAGTTAGCCTCACATGGCTAGAGAGTAGCTTGAAGGGGATCCAGCACTGAAAGATTTTTTATATCCAAGGACAGGGAGATCTGAGCATTTAGGCAATGAAAAAGAAAGGGAGCATTGAAGAGGGAGGGATGGGCTCTAGGGCCAGGTGGACAAGGTGGCCTTAGAAAAGAGCAGGCTTGTGGGGGCAGGAGGGGAGAGCGCGGGTTCTTCCGAGCAGAGCTGAGCCTGCTCCAGCCCGGTGGCCTTGCTTTTCTCTGGGGAGTAGGAGGCAAGGGCATCTGCTGAGAGAGCAAAGGGTGGCTGGGAGTAGAATAAAGGTTTCAAGGAGTGGGTGGTGGAGGTTGAAAGACCTGCCCTGTGGAATATGCAAAGAAGCTGACTGGGGAGGTTAAGGGATTTCCAGGTAGCATTAAAGGCCCAGATGATGTTGAAAACCATAACCTGTAATGACTGCTCCAGTGTGGTTATGTGGTTTTCTCTGGCAAATGTGGTAGCCATGAGCAGGATTCAACGGTTGAGGGCTTTTTTCTGGGCAGGTCAAGAGAAGGACAAGATGGGGACAGCTGAGGTGTCTTTAGTAAGAGTGTCTGAGATGATTGGCCTTGGGGAAGAGAAGTGGCTGAGGCCCCAGGGGCAGTCCAGGGTCTGGTTTTTGAGGTGTTAGAGCAGGGGCAGTGGCCAGAAGGGAGAGCTGGCTGGACAGGAGGGGCTCAGAGAGTGGGTGAGGGAATTCTGGGATGACTGCAATGAGTGGCCAAGGCTGAGGATGTCTGAGTGAGAGCAGAGGTGCATGAAGGTCAGTCGGGCCAAGGAGGTGAGAACTGAAAGGCCAGAGCGTTGGATGGGTCCTCCAATGAGGAGGTTGCTGACCACACAGCAGCCAGAGTCTACTGCCAGCGTCTTGGATAGATGTGGCAGGGTGTCTGGGAGGCCTGAGGAGCCAGCCACAGTGCTGGTGGTGTGGCTGCCAGGGGCTTTGCAAAAAACACTACGGGCCAGCTGGGTTTGAGAAGGTTAAGCTGCCTCCACTTGGGAGGACTGCAAAAAAACTGTCCAGTGGGCACATTCCAGTGTGAATGGGGCGGTGGAGGTCGTGATGAGGTTGAAGGGGAAGCAAAGCTTTCTTTTCAAAGGTTCCAGAGAGCCCAGTGAGGTTCAAAGCTGGGTCAGCAGAGGGGCTGCTTGAGCCTTGGGCAGGTGTGATCACTGAAGTCACTAGTGCTTCTGCCCTTACTCGCCATGTGGCCCCAGGTAAGTCACTGCCCACCCTCAGCATCAGTCTAAAATCAGAAAATCTCTACAGCCATGGGCTGTATGTCTCATGGCAGGAGGACAGGAGTGGCTGGTAAATAACAGGAGTGGATCTGAACAGATGGGGCAGGGCAGGGGCAGGAACGCACCTGTGAAAACAGAACGTTGGTGACCAGGCCACCCCCTCTTCCTTTCCTCACTAGTGACCTGGACGAAGAGAAGGGGCCCCGGCAGAGAAGGCACAGGGAGCAGCCCTTACCTGAGACCAGTCAGCCTGCCAGCATTCCCGTGCCTCCTGAGCCCCCTAGACCACCTCGGAAATCCTCTGCCCCCAAAGCGGCCCCCGCCCCAGCTTCAGAACCCCCAGTCCCTCTCTCACCTCCCTCTCCTCCTGATCCCTCCCTCCCACCTCAAGAATAAAGGAATCAAAAGTGGACACAAGTGTGAATCTTAAATTATTATTATTTCTTCCTGTCGCTTACACCCGAGGTGGGGGGGCGGGGGTAGGGGAAGGGAACAGGAAAGGGGGGAATGCCTCCCCCACTAAGGCACTGACTGGGAAAGCCGCAAGTAGGGAGAGGGGAGGCCACATTGTCCCCACTCTCTGGGGCTGGGCCCCAGGTCTCCCCAGCCCTGGGCTCCCTCCATCACCTGAAATGCTTAAGATGAGGCCCAGGGCAACCCGACCTCCCCCCACCCTAATATATTACATCATCATCACTTTTTAAATAGATACAGGGACTGGTCCCGCTACCCCCTCCCTGTGACCCCTCCCCACTGTTGGAGGTACCTGGGCAGCTGTGCAAATGGGCATGGGGGTGCATGGGAGGGAAGAAGAGCACCGGGCCCCTGAACCTGCCCCTTTTAAGGAGGGGGAGGGGCCGTCAGGCCAGGGAGGGGAAATAGTGCAAGGCAGAGCCCAGGCCGCAACGGGGGTCCAGCACCCAGCGATGAAGGTGGGGGACATACCCCCCACCCCAAGCAGAATTGGGTAGTTAAAAATCTGAAACTAGATTTCAATAAGACCAACAGAGAGGCTTATGTACAGAATGGGGGTGGATTCAATCCTAAGAGTGAGGGGATTATTCTCCCCTACCCAACAGGAAGCCCGCTGGCAAGGAGCCGGGAAAGGATCTCTTTCCCACAGGGCCGCGGCCCACTTTCCCAGCGGCCGAGCGAGGGGTTACTTGCCCACTGCCTTGGCAAGGGGGCGCCCGCTCACCAGCCGGGGTGGCGGAGGGCGCGAAGACAGCTCGCTCCAAGTGGCCGCCGGGGGCGCTCGCCCGCGCAGGGCATGGCCGCCAGATGGCGCCGGCTCGCCCGCTCTCCGCAAGGCTCCCCCAACCCCTCACTCTGTCCCACACGGTGCCCTGTGCCAGCCCGGGGGCGGCGTGAGTCAGGGGCGGCAGCGGTGTCGGTGGCTCCGGCTCGCACCTGGGCGGGGAGGAGGTGGGGAGGAGGAGAAGAGGGTAGGACGCCGCCCGGCCCGCCCTGCCCTCTGGCCCCGGGGAGGGAGCGGCGGGAACAAGACATTCCCTGCCCAGGGCCGCGGGAGGGGAGGGAAAGGGAGGGGAGAGGAGTGGAGCGGAGCGGCTCCCCTAGCTGGGCGGGGCCCCTCCCGCTGCCCCCAGGGGCGGGCGAGCCAATCAGGCCACCCCGCCCCCTTCTCCTCCAGGACCCCATGACTCAGCGCTGGGAGCAGGGCGGAGGGGACTGGGATGGCTCCTTCCTTACAGGCCCAGTCCCCCAGTCTTTCAAGCTTCCACCTTGCTTTCCCCACCTACCCTTCCTTTGCCGCCCCCTTTGCATAATTCACTGCCAGGAAAAGGGAACAGAAACCAGGAAGGAGGGGTCTCGGAAGGGAGGGGCAGTCCTTCACCCCCTTACACAGCCAAAACCCCCAAGGGGCATGGGGGTGGGGCAAGGCTTTGGTCCCAAGCCCCCACCCCTTAGAAACCCGCATAGCCGAAGTGGGACCCCACAAATCAGAAATACATTATTGCTTCTACTCCCCAGGAGCAGCTGGGGCCAGGGACCCCACATTTACAATACAGCTGTAAATATATACATAACATCACATGTATCACTCCTTGGGGGATCACCCCAATTTGGGGAACCTCTGCCCCAAAACCTTCTGAGCTTGCAATTGGAATGAGGGCTCTGGGGGGGAAGGGGCTGATTCTGATGCCAGCAAGGCTCAATGCCCCGACCCCAGCTCTGTGTGTCCCACTGCTTGGCATGGGTGTCCCGGGCCTTGTGCTGCTCCAGCCTGGCCATTCGTTCCTCTTTAAGAGGACTCCATGGCACCTTCAGCCTGGGGTGTGGTGGGTGCCCCCTCCTCCTCATCATCATCCGGAGGCCCTGGGGTAGAGACTGGGGGCCCAGTGGGGGCTGACTGCTCCCAGAAACGAGCCAGAGAGAGGCGGAAGGTGTCCAGGTGGCCATTGGAGAGGTCGAGGCCAGCGGGGGATGAGGTGGCGGTGGAAGGTGGTGGGTAGTGGGGAGGCGCGTCGTCCTTACGGCGCCGCCGGGTGCGCACCTCCAGGCAGTTCTGGCCCTTGAGGTGGCGCTGCAGGTGGTCCTCCTTGGCGAAAGCCTTGTGGCACAGGTGGCACTCATAGGGCCGGTCCCCCGTGTGCAGGTGCATGTGGTTCTTGAGGTCATAGCTGTGCAGGAAGCGGGCTGGGCAGTGCGGGCACGAGTAGGGGCGCTCTCCTGTGTGCTTCCGCATGTGTATCTTCAGCTTGTCGTTCCTGGCACAGGCAGGGGTGGAGGGCAAGAGAGGTGTTCAGGATGGGATCCCTGGCTTGTCCTCGTTATGCTCCCAGGTCTTGTTCCACTCTGGGCCCTCACCATTTGTTTCTCCAGTATTGCCCCAGGATACCCTTGCTGGCTTGCCTCCAGCCCGACTGGGCCCTCCCCTTTTCTGCTCCTCGGCCTCCAACAGGGCCTTCCTGCTCAACAAATCCTTCAAGGCCCAGACCCACCACCCTTGGCTTCTTTCTCCTGGTGTCTCCTCACTGCAGTAACCCATGCGTGCCCCAGGCCCTCCAGGACCACCCACCTCCACCTCAGCTCTATTAACTTGCTAACTGCTTCCCTCCACTCCTCACCCTCCTTCCCCCACACCGCCTATGGCCCCTGCTGGGCCTCGTCCCCACTTGGTGCTCACCGTCCCCACTTGGTGCTCACCGGGTGAAGCGAACGCCGCAGACCTCACAGGCAAAGGGCTTCTCCCCGGTATGGGTCCTCATGTGGCGCGGCAGTTTGCCCGCCCCGTGGATGATCTTGTGGCAGACGGGGCACTCCTGAGGCATCTGGGAGCGGCGTTTGCGCACCAGTTTGTCTTGGCCATCCAGGCCTGGTGTCAGGGCGTCCTGGTGCAGGGAGCTTAGGTAGGCCATCAGGTCAGGATCGATGGCATCCTCATCTGAGCCCAGCTCCTCTGGGGACAGTGGGGGCCCGGTGCCCTGTGCCAGCCCATAGGCCGGGGGATATACCAGCTCCTCTTCTTCCTCCTCACCCTCATAGGCATCGTAGCTTAGGGGCCCCTCAGGAGGTGAGGCAGTCCCTGTGGGGGGGCTGTAGCTGTCCCCCAGCCCACTGCCCCCACTGCTGCCCACTCTGCCTGCTACCTCCTCCTCCTCAAAGGTCAAAGGATGGGCAGGCACTGTGGGCACCTCGGGTACTAGGTGGTTTGCCCGGGCCCCCTTGGTTTGCAGAAAAGCTTTTCGGGGCTTGCGGCTACGTCGGGCAACAGGCCGAGGCGGTGGTGGCGGCGGTGGAAGGGGCACCTGCGGAGGGCTGTCTTCACCATTGGGGACTCCAGAGGCCGTGGCTGTGGCAAAGGCCTCCAGGTACTGGCGGGCTCGCTCACAGTCATCCTCGTCCGGGCTGGGTGCTTCCAGCCCACTACCCTGCAGAATCTCCATACAAGCAGCGATGACACACGGGATCTCCAGCAGCCGGGCAGCCTGGAGCACAGCCGGCATGTTGGCACTGCTGGTGGTCAGCGTGGCTGTATAGGCAAATTCGAGCAGGGCCCCCAGTGCCTCGGGCCCTACAAAATCCAGCTCACACACGCCGGCCCCGGCTCCCCCAGGGGCAGTCCCGCCACCTCCAGCTCCCATGACAGCCCCACCACCACCCTCAGTGAAGAGCTTCTTGAAGTAGTGGCTGCAGGCAGCCAGCACAGCCCTGTGGGTGCGGTATTCAAGGCCCTGGGTCCGGATGGTGAGGTCGCATAGATGGCCCAGCTGACGCTGCTCATTGAGGCAGCTCAGGAGTTCACTGCTATGGTCCGGGAATGGAATCCCAATCAGGTCATCCTCGGGGCTCCCCATCTTCTCCTGCAAGGTCAAGCAGATGGGGAGGTTAAGAGCGCTCAGCCCTGCTAGAGGGTCTGGGGAAGGAGTGCCAACGTTTGCCAACACTTACTGAGGGACGACTATGTGCCAGACACTCTTCTAAGCACTTTACACTCATTTAATCTTCCACAACCCTCTGAAGTATGATTATCATCTATTTCACAGACAAGCGAAATGAGGTTCAGACAGGTAAAGTGACTTTCCAAGTTAAGTGCAGAACAGAGTTCAAACCCAGGCAGTAGGCTCAGAGTCCTTATTCTTAACCACTGTACTATTCTGTTCTGCCTCTGTTGAGAGCAGGAATACCGTCTTTCTGGCCCTTTCCTAGAGACCCATCTGCTTCACCTGCCCCACTCCCCATCTCTTTGGAAGGAGCACTGGACAGGGAGACAGGATGCCTGGGTCCTGGTTCAGGCTTCATGAAGAATTGGCTGAAGGACTCTGGGTAGCTCTAGCAGCAGCCTCAGCCATCTGAAAAGTGGGGTAATAGTCTTTGCAATGAAACCTCCTCATAGCCTGGGGAGAGGCCAGTGAAAGAGTTCAGATTCACATTGGACCAAGATCTGCTGGAGGCCAGGCATAGCCAGATGCTTTAACTCAAGTTATCTCTCTAAAGCATTTAGGACACTGTAAAACATGCAAACAAGAGGAGGCAGTTTCCAAGCACCAGCCTCTTCCTCCTTGTGCCCCTCCCCCAGCTACCAAAAGTTCATCTCCTCTTCTCGATCCCCCCTTCTAGAGACCAAATGGGAAACACAGCTCCCAGCATCCCTCCCCCCACATCCTCCCCCCATCATGGGGCCAAGGAGCAGCCACCTTTTGCTGGGGTGTCTCGGGCTGGCGCGGGTGCTTCCTGCCCCACACAGATAAGCATCGCCCCCGCCCCCTCCCCTACTGCCAATAGGCCAAGTTCCAGTCCCTCCCCTCCCCCATCCCCATCTCTCCCTCCCCATTCCAGGAGAGCCCCCTCTCTTCAGAGGGTCATGGTTCCACCCTCTTTGCTTTCCCCTGAAAGGCACAGCCACAGACGACACAGAGCAGCCAGTAATCCCAAGGCTGGCAGAGGTGTGGGGC